TCACTATTTCAATTTGTGATTCGGTCGCTAAATCGATCGCTAAATGATTTTTGTATTTTAGTATAGAATAGTCATCGATTTAGCGACCGAAATTTTACGACGCAAACTATTGGTCGCTATTTCGGTCCCTAAATAAAAAAGTGAAACCAAATCATATTTTGGTGACTAAATCGGTCGCTAAATTGCGACTGAATTAACTCGGTCGCTAATTGCGACCGAATTAAAGTGGTCGCTAAATTGGTTGCTAATTGCGACTGAATTAAATCAGTCGCTAATTGCGACCAAAATTAAATCTGTCGCTAATTACAACCGAAAAAATTCGGTCGCTAATTTCGGTGGCTAAATATGTTTTTTCTTGTAGTGGTAAAAGAGGTCTAGTTAAGTAAATAATTTCATGAGAAGTTCTATTATATTATATATATATATATATATATATATATATATATATTATAATAATATTATTTCAGTAAAAAATTCTCATCCATTCACATATATAAAATATTTCATGTTATTTTCTCTTTATTTTTTTCCTTTCCTTCCAGTTATCTAGTTTTCTTATGTTTTTTCCTTCCAGTCTCATGCAGCGCGCCTACATATCTGTTGTTGTTATCTTGCTTTCGTACGTTCTCATGCAGTGCTTTTTATTCCAGTTTAACCTTTCCTTCAACATTGAAAGATATAGGGGTGTGTGTGGATTGGTGTTGAGTTCTAACCAACATCAATCTTATTATGGGAGTGTTATGGTATTAAACATGGCTTGAAAATAATATGCGATTTTAATAAAACAAGCACACACTTGAAAACTGAAAAGAAAAAGGTTTATAATTTTAAAATTGTGTTATAACAACTTACTGTGATGAGTGTCACCTTAACAGCTATTTCTTGACTTCAATTCTATAGAAATATGGATCTTGACGTGACATAATCTATGTTTAGAAATTTCTCATTTTCAATTAACATCAATCAACACTCAGAATGTTTTTATCTGAGTATTAGAATGTCTTAATTCTTTTAAAACCTTATATTCTTCATTAATATTTAGAAGGATAAATACGTATACTATGTATTTAAGTCTTATTAATTAGTGTCTTAAAACACTAGTTCGGATATTAACAGATAGAAAAAACTTTTATTGTAAGAATTGAAAAGCATTTTGCTTTCCTTTCTCTTTCCACAACAAGAACATCCTTTTTCTATCCTCTGTCCTCCACAAGATTTTCTCCTCTTCTCTCTCTTTCTTTGAACTAAATCCAGGATTAGGTACTTGTGGGTCCAGAGTGTTCTGCTCTTATAAAAAAAGCCCTTCTGGTTTTTGCTAATTTTAAGAAAGTATTGATTTAACTTGTGTGGAAAATAACGTCAGCCGAGGATGAACTTTTTAGCATACTGTTTATTGAAGACAAAATAGCTTTTCTAATAAAAATCATGCTTTCATTTAAGATCTGCTAATCATAACAATTCAAACATTTGAATTAACCTAATTAGGTAAATTAAGGCCACCCAACAAATTCTTGATTTGCAGACTTTTTTCATGTTGTTATGAGTAGTAGTAATATTTCGGTGCCATTAATTGATTACTGCCGTGAAAAAAAAGAGAGACATTATATTAATGCGTAAATAAAGCATCAAATCATCATAAGTGGGTGTGCACTCAGGGTTTAAAAGAAGCCAAGCTTTTATTGCAAATATAGTGAAATCCAGGATGCTTACAAAATGTTGAGAACAGGGAAAATGCAGTTATATATAGCAAGAAAAAAAAAAGTAAGTCAAATTGGTTAGGCCTCCTGAATAAAATGTTCACTGTTACTGCAATTGATTACATTACTACATAAGCAAGCCTGAGCAATGAACATGAACATGCTGAACACCATTCTTCCAAATCCAAAAAGGGTGACAAAAATAATGATATCTGAGCCGTATAATGAACTCCGTCTTCATTTAATTCAGTGCAAGCAAAGAACCTTTCCCAATAACCCAGGAAATAATCTGAAACAGCATTACATAATTCAGAATCAGATAGCTATGGGGTTATAGACTTGTAGCATTCACCTACCTGATTAATCATCTTTAAGGCGAGAGGGTTAGATAATAGATAGGCCTGATAAAAGTCAAGTCTATTAAGAAAATGGCACAATTATTTGTGAGAAAATATTTGGTTTCAAAGGTTGTCACTGCAGTGATGTTGACTGACTGTGACCATTGATATGTGAGTATTGATGAATGTTAGATGGCTAAAAGGCTAGTGTTACTTGAACATTCACCTAACTCTATTTCGCATTACATATGGTAACATTTCTGTAAGTAGTAGCATATACAGATGGGAGAGAAGGTACGATGATGATGGAGTGGAGTATTTGAAAATGATTTGGGTGTGTGTGGATTGGAATTTGAAATTACCATGTTGAATGTGGAAAGTTAAAGGGGGGTGGGGTAAGCACTGGAAAGCAAAAGTGTTAAGTTAGGAGGCTGGCTAAGATGATTGTAACTTTTCTAATCATGCAGCATCCATTTGGCAGTGAAATACAACGATGAGAGTGGGAAAGAAGAGTGGTAAAATGAGAATGAATGATATGAGAGTGAATTTAATGATCAAAGGACCATAGTAATAAGGGAATAAAAATGATGATGATCATGAAGTTGAAACGTGCGGCCATCATGAACCAATGAAACAATCCCCTCTTTACTGTCACACATATCTTATTACCCTTCACTTTCCTTTTTCTTTTCTTTATTCATCAGATAAGTTGTTGGTGTTGGTGGGGGATGTCCCTCATAACTAATGTTACTGTCTCTCCCACTACCCTTCTGCTTCGGATTATCCCTCGTTCACCTTTTCTCTTTCTTCTTCTTTTCAATTTTTTATCTTTCTCTCTCTCTTTCAAAGTTATCGGTTATTTTGCTTGTATCTTCAGATGGATTCTCCCATGCTAAATACACTAGACATTTCAAAATCTGGATCAGAATTAAAAGAATGTTTGAATGTTATTTTGGTTGTTTCAGTGAAAGTAAAGAATTGAATTCCTTTTGTTTGGATTTTCATGATGAACCCTGAGAAAAACAAGGTAAGAGTTAAGTGGTGTGTGTTAGGAATAGTGAAGAAAGGAGGTGGATATGATGAGGTGGGTGTGTCTTAGAAAATAGAAATGGAGGTGAATGCATAGAAAAAGCTGAAGAAGGCCATCCTATGTGACCGAATCTATCACGTGGCGCACCAGTCGAGGCTCTTCTGCTCTTCTCTCTTTCCCCAAGGAAACCCACTTCAACCATATTTACCACCGCGGTTACTTTTCTTTTCTATTCCACTTTTCGATACCATCGCCCTAACTTTAGCTTATCTAAACAAAAACATTCTAATAAGAAACTCCAACAACAAATACAGCAATCAAAGGGTCTCATCACCATAATTTGTTTTTAAAAAGTCATTTGAACATTTAAAAACAAATTCAAAATATGTTGAACTCCTTTGCTTTTCTTAAAAACACTTCCGTATAATACGATTCGGATTTTAAATTTATTATAAAAGAGAATTTGTCTTCCCAAACACGGCAGCTTCGCAAAAAGTTTTGTAACAGGTGGTGCAAAATAAAATTTGTGAGTTTTATAGCTTTTAGTAATTTACTATACAGCATTTAAATGAAATGAAAAATATTTAATCACTTCGGCTACATGTTGATCCACTGATTCCGCAGACAAAAATTAATTTCCCCTGCATCCTTTAAATTATAAGATTAAATTTGTAGTAAATAAACAATAAATTATCAGCTTCAATAGAGTATTTTTTTTTCCCCTTTAAGTAATATCTAAGTTTTTCCCAACCTATTAAGTTCATGTATTCCAGTATATTTTGAGAGCCAATTTGAGGGGTTTCGAATATTTGGAAGAACCACTGTAGGTTTCCTAATACTTTTAATATAAATAATTTCTTTACTTTCAGAGCCTACTTAGGAGATAAGATTTGGAAGACAAAATTGATTAATTAACCTAAACAAATACCTTTAAAGAAACCCATTTTCAATTTCTAAACACCCGAATCAAATAAATTAACCTTAAAGATTTCAATCTTAAAAGTCAACTAATTTACCTATCCTTTTAAAATCATGTTTGAGTAATTTATAAAATCAATCTTCCAACCATTTTGAGTGAGGAGAGAAGTTCATTTTAATAATGAAGATTGCAGATATGATTACAGGTTCCTCACTGGTAACAAGGATACAAGAAGTTAGTTACTTGCGTGAATACGCATGTTATACTATCCGGCTTTAACCATATTTTAGAATTTTCGAACAAGAAATTTCACCAATATGCCCATCGTAGGCAACCAAATGAAGTTAAAAAAGCATACTCAAAGTAAAAACCGACGGGGAAGTCTTAAACCGCACTGTTAAGATGCAAAAACCTTTCCACCAGTGCAGCCATTCCTCGATACACATGGGCCAGGAGACTCGGTTGTCTCATATAGCCATTCCGATTGCTTACTTCACAGCGCCAATCGACTCTGTTATCAAAACAAGGCATAATATAATTAAATAAGATGCATCAACATTGTTGAAAACAACGAATCAGGTTTGCATCGGAATATAATTACGAATTTTATTCGTTCCCACGGCATATTTTTATTGATGATAACAAGTCCATCGATATTTTTACTAAGAAAGAGCGGGTTAACATGCATATAAAATTATGCACAGGTTCATAAATTACTATAATTATAGGAAAAATAATAAAACTATCCCATGCCACATACAACAAGGTTCCGATCTCTTTATCAGAATTGGTGTCTCGTTGCTCAGCCAAAGAGTAAAATGAATGGCTATCGAGCTCAAGCTTTTATATATACCCTCATCCTGTACCTAGCTCTCAAACACCAACCAAACACCAACAGCATAGGCCGGTAAACAGTTTTAATTCATTATTTAGTAGCATTCTAGGCATGTACCTGCATCAACAACTCTTACATCAAATTGTCATAAATGCAATGGCTCGTACAGCAGCATAATCACTCAAGAAATTCTTAATGCAGAATCATCTTCCATTCGCCATACATAGCCTGGCATGTCCAATCTTGGCCCTGAAACAGTCCTGTATATGTATAACTTCTCGACAGGACTACTAGCCGGCCTTGAATCTGGAGGTCCTCTTTCATCAATGACTTCAACATTAAGCATCGGCATTTTCTGACCCAGCAGTTTACATGCTTCATAACTTACGAGGCAAGAGGACATCCAAAGGGATCGCATTGTCTCCAGCTTTGCAGCATTGGCTAAAAGGGCTTTGTCACCAAAGGGGCAGTCCCTGATCTCCAGCTTCCTAAGGTTGTCACACCCAGACAGCACATGATGGAGTCCCAAATCGCTATCTCCAGCAAAAGCCACAGAAAGCATCTCAAGCTTCTTACCATAAGTCCCAATATACTCAAAAACACGGTCAGTAAGAAGCCCAGAAAGGGAAAGGCGCCGCAGATCCTTGCAATTCTTTACAATTGCTCCAAAACCAGAATCCAGAGATTCATGGGTAATATAGTCTGGAACTTGAGGCTCAATAATACACAGTCTAAAACGAGTCATATTAGGCCTGTTCCTGGCAATTGTATGCAAGGCAGCGTTAGACATTTGACGACAAAAATATAGAACTGACTGGAGCTTGGGACAGCCTTCAGACACAGAAACAAGGCCCTGCTCTGTCAACGCTACATTTGGTTCCACCAACCCAAACGGGTCAGACGGAAACACCCTCAACTCCCTAAGATCCTTACACGATGCAGCAATCACTTCAAGGCCAGCATCTTCTATGTAATCCAGCACCTATTCCACAAATTCCTTCCGATCATCAGCATAAGAAAATTTACAGCACTACTTCGCAACAGTGAACAAAGATACAAACATAAACATGAAACATTCAATATGAATCAGAACATTATAAAAATCAGACTTACCCATAACCGTTGTAAATTCTCACACTGACTGACAAGCTTGATAAGATCAGGGCTTTGAATAGTTGCATAACTCATGTTCAGTGTTGTAAGGTTGGAGCAGATAGGATAAACAGCTGGAAGGTAGGAGGGGAGCACGTCCCAAAATCCAGACAAGCTTCTCAACTGCCTGCACCCAGAAAATGCTTCGGTCAGATTCGAGAAGACCTCCGGCCGCATGTCAGTCGTGTAGGCCCCAGTGCCTAACTCAACCAACTGAGGAGCTCCACGAAGAAGGTTGGCCAGCCTGTCTAGGGGCACAGCACGGTTCAGGCGGAGAGTCTGCAGGTTGGGACACCTACTAACCAGACGCTCTAGGGCGGACAAATTCACCTCATTGCCTAAGCAAGAAATGTTAAGGGAAACCAATGATGTGTATGAATCGGGGAAATGGCTAAGCCAGTGCCCAGAAATGTCATCCACTTCACTCTCCCGCAACTCCAACTCCCTCAAATTCCTACAGTTCATTACCACATAACGAATTATTAAAACCATGTTCAAAAACCAAAAATTCTTCAGCTTCATAGTCAAAATAAGGAATGCAGTAAACAGAATCACACTGAGCCAAATTACAACACAACAGTCATTGTCATTAACAATATTCACATCAAAAGATTTACCAAAATCCCCACTATATAACATAAACTCCTAAAAAACACAAAACAAATCTTGTTTTAAAAAATGATAAACAAGTAAAAATTAAATCTTATGAACAAGCATTTATAATTTCCCAATAATCTCTAGTCGGATCCTTCTTTAACTTTTTTTTCTATTAAATGTACAGGACCAGAAAAAGTAACTAAACCAATCTCCCTAAAACATTTCATGCGAATTTCAGTTTGGAATCTCAGAGGGGGAAACAAAATAATCAGAGTAGCAAACCTGCAATGGGCGGCAATGGCAGCAAGTCCATCCGTGGTGAAACCCTCGCAAGAGGTGAGCACCAGCACTCCGAAGTTCTTGAACGATTTGGCGATAAGTTCGAAGCATTCGTCGGTGACAACCATCCTCTTGAGCCTGATCTCCTGGAGCCAGGGGTAGGCAGCGGCCATGGCCTTGATCCAAGGGCCGACGTAAGCGCCCCAACCCTCGGGGACCAAATTGAAGTCCGCGAAGTGCGGCTTGCCCTTGATGGTGATGGATCTAACTTTGGGGAAGCGGTTGACGACGGTATCCGGAGAGACGGCATAGCAGTTTCCGACGAAGACTCTCCGGCGGCACCAGCGCTCGATCTCGTACCAGGACTTACAGACAAGGGAGATCGAGCCACGGTCCTTATCGCACTCGATGAAGGAGAACACGTGCTCCAGCACCTCCTCAGGGAATGAGTACGCTACTCTCGGCCGCATGTCCAATGGAATAGAACGCAAACGCAGTCGTTTTCCAAGCGAAAAGTAATAACAATAACAATACTACGAATACGAATACTACGTGCAGAGAAGCGTTTAGATCTGAGACGCCATTGGAAGAGCGAGGTTGTGTGCTGTGCAGTTGTTGGAGTTGCCAGAGAGAGAGAGAGAGAGAGAGAGAGAAAGATAGAGTGAGGAGGATAAGGAGCTTGTGTTGTACCGGGGGAGGTTAGAAAGTAACTAGGGTTAAATAGGTGGGGTGGAGGAGGGGTTTGCGAAGAGAGTGGAATCGGCGATTGTGAAGAGGACACGTGGAGATGGGTGAGTTGGAGTCGTTGGATGCGCGGCGTTTGATGATGGTCTTATCCGTTGAAACGAGACGAGAAGGTGGTTTGATGAGGTGTTATCATGCCTACCGTAATGGGTGTGGAAGGGAATCTCATGATTCCCGTTGCATGGCTTCATCTCCAGAGATGGTGATGGATGGATGCACCCGGGACCACATTTTCACCATCACATTAATTCACTTCTAAATTATTTATACTTTTTCCATTTTTTATATTATATTCGCCTACCATTGAAATTCTACATCATTCAAACATTTTATATCTAATTTACATCAAACTAATATCCTATATACCATGTGCATGTATGTCAGATAAATTTGTGTAACTGTTTCAAATAACAAACTTTCCAAAATACCAATACCTTTTTAATTCCTAAATACTTACTTTACGCGTTTTAACTATTTAACTCCTTCTACAAGTTGTATGAATAGTTATTGATTTAATATAAGGTGTGGCTTCTCAACTTTCTAAATGTAAATGTTCTCATTTCACCAACACTGCAAGAATAAACAAATAGTTTGATAAAGAAAAACAAAAACATTATTCAATGTTTTTTATTTGATAAAAATAGGATTTCACCTGATAATTTATATTAAAAGTCAACCACGATTATTGAGATAAAAAAAATCAAAATTAATTAAAAGATCCAAAAAGCACATCTAATAAACTATTTCTTAAATAGCAATGTCTCTTTTGTTAGACAAAACCAACAAGAAAAGCAACAAATTCTCTTGTCAGGATAAATGAGCAAAAAGGAAAAGAATTTTGAGGAAGTTCTCAGCTCTAACAAAATCTTTCCCTTCTAAACAAGCAAGAAACTCAGAGAAGATTAGAATAATCAAACACTAAATGTATTATTACATAGTAGTGTTTAAATATGGTTTACGTAATTACTTTTTGCATTATATGTGAATGATGCAGTGAGGTGAAGTGCAGAAATGATGACATCATAGCCGTCCAATCATAAGTAACTTTTTTGCACTCTCAGAGGTTTGTGTATTTTAACAGTAAAATAGTAACATTTTTACAAATAACTACCATTTACAAAGAAGTGAACATAAATATAGTTTGGGGAAGAGAGAGAGGGAAGTGAGTTACACATACACAGAAGAGAAGAGATTAATGGGAGAAGAGAGTGGCCCACATTTTAATGAGGGTAGCATCCATTCTAATGATCAATTCCATTATTTATCTTATGGATGGTACAAGTATGATATGAATGAGCCAGCTATCATACCACTCTTCCTGTTCATCTTCAAATCTAAAAATCTGCTTCCATCAATTTAACTCTCCTATGTTTCCATTATTATTGCCCTACTTAACCAACCAAATTAATGCAACATAATCATCCATACCCATTTATGTCACTCCTCAAATACACTCTTTAATCAAACTACTTCAACTTCAACTTTTATTTTCGCCACAAAATCAAATTATAGTTTTTTTTTTTTTACAACCATCATCCTTGAAAGGACAAAAAACAAGTTAGCAAACTAATAATTAAAAAGAAGAAATATAAAATCATTACTTTAAACTTTATAAATAACGTAAATTATTTTTGAATTAGTATGAAAATTGCGTTATACAATTTATTTATTATATCTCTTTCACCATCCAAACAAACAAGTGAGAGAATGATTGATTCAAACCAGATATATTGATTTACATCTTTCTCGTAATAGCAAATGACTCAAATGACCTTCGTCATTCCTCCGCCTGGTAGTAACTGGTATCATGGGTTTATCGCGTGACGAACCTAAAATGCATTATATTGTACGAAACATATGAGAACCAAAGTTATAAATACAGCTGTATATTATGCCTCTATTTAAATTAAAAATATATAATATTATCCATTTAATAAATTATCAAAGAGAAAATGAAGATTAACACGAAAATCAATAGAAAAGATTAAAAAAAACTAAAATCATAGTACCGACATTTTATAATACAAAGAAGTTCCGCATAAAATGGTAGTAAATGATTACATTAATGTCTCTTTTTTTCGATTTTCGTCCAATAATTTGAATAAAACAATATAAAGGGGCTGAGTTGTCTTGCACGGATAATTATTTTTTTAATGGGAAGATATCGTGATTAAGATTTAAAGATGCATTAATTAATTAAGATTATTAATGTGTTTAATATTAAGCCCACGCACGGTTCTCCGGGAATCTCTCTATCCCTGAAGCGGAAATGGCTTGGACTTTATTGAACCCCATATTATATTATCACTTCAAAATGTTTCTGAAAAATTAAAATCTTAAATAACATGTATAATAAATGTAATTAAAAGAGGTGTAAAGTCTAACTCAATTACTTGCTACTAAAATAATGTAATAGTCTTAGCTTTTAGACTTGGATTTGATGAGGGTATTAAATTGTTGTTGTCTTGGTTTGCTCGTGTTGTTGTTCATATTTTTCAGTATATTGTATTTAGTTTATATTAATGGTTTAAAGGACGTAGGTTTCTTATTTCACGCCATTCCTCTCTCGTACGTAAAGTGTCATGGCTAAGGTCGATGTTGAAGGAAGGAAGAAAGATAAATAAAAATCACAATTTTGAAGTTGCGTACCTAAAGACAGTTGAAGAATTAAGAGTATTTGACATATTTTGTGGAAAATTTAGTAGTGATGATGATGGGTACAATTATTTACTGAAAACCTAATTTTGGTGATGTATAACCGTAGTTGCTTCTGCTTATAAAAAAGTGGATGGGAAGAGATGATAAATGGTTTGGTTAGATGGGCACGAAATAGTACTTGAACAAGAATTGATTGTTGTAACTTGTAACCAGCTCAATCCTGTTAACATCCACCACTCTACGACAAAATCCATTTAACTATGATGCCTCATAATTCACAAACCCATTCACTCCGTTAATTAATTACTTGACGTCGATGTCCACACAACTTTCCTCCCCATTTCTATCTCAAATCAAAACAACTCTTTCAGTATTTTTATTCCATTTTTTCCACTGAAAATAACTGAAATTTGTCATAGTCTTTTTTTTTTTTATTTTCAAAGAGTGTTGTTGTTCTTCACCTTCAATGATCGAACAATCACCACGCGAGTAGCCAACCCAAATCAAAAGTCACTCTCTAGGTGTTATCAATACTCTTGTGCTTAATTCACCCCCCAAAAGTTGGAATCTGTGGAAAAATAAGAGAGAAAAGCTATGCATGTTTACGTGAGTGAAGGGGGCTTTTCCATTAGTGGCTTGGTATCTATCACGTAAAGTTTATGATTAGTGATTAGTGATTAGTGTAAGTTTAGTAATCCATGTCCTTTTATTCTGCTTCTTTTTGCATGCTTTTTGACATTTCCCATTTGCATACGTATGGGTATAAATATATTGTAGTACAAGTTAGAAGTGAAAGAATAAACATTTTGCATAAAGAACCCAGAAGTGATGATGGGTGCGTTCTCGTGAGCATGCCATGAAACAGGAACTGCAGCTAACTTTTGTTGACCTAAAACCACACCCAATGAAAGAAGAAGCCGTATTTAAAAAATACATAGCCTATAACACACAACTGCATGCACTTCCGATATCATTGACCACTGTATTATATATATATATAGAGACTCCCACTTTCCCAAAATCCTTACAAAATTAGGTATCATTGACTCATTATTAATCATTCAATTTCAATATTACAAGCTTAAAGTCACGCAAAAGATAACAAGGCTTTGAGTTTAGTACCATCATTTCCTCTTTCCCTTTCGTCTTTTACTTTACTGTCATATCCATCCATAACCACAATCTATTAGAAAAAAAAAAACATCACATTGTGAATCCATTCAATTCATTTTTTTTATGACCACATACGACATAACCCATAATCATGTCAAGTCTTCTAGTCAACATCGAGTTTGATATTGATTTTCCGGGAAACTAACCAAGGATTTTTGTTTCCCATGTATCTGCTTCAATTTGTTGTATATCTTTTATGGATTTGGAAATATTCTCTTAATACAATCGATGATGGTGGTCACCACCATATTGCTTCCTTTAATTTCAACCAAATTTACTCGAATTTCATTTTCTAATTTTCCTAGGAATATTAAGGTGCAAGTTCACAAAATAGAGAACACATGTTACACTCTCTCTTTTATATATACATATATAAATGGACGCATTAAATATTATATTTCACTAAATTTTTATTTCTTTAATTTTTAATTGCTTTTTTAAGATCAATGATTGAAAATTTCATTAAAAAGAAATCGAACATAGTTCTTTTTAATTCATTACATTGAATAAATCTCACACATATAAAGTTGTAATTTATTATTTATTTTATGGTTCGTGACATCATTATTATAAAGTATTTTCATTATTTGTAGGCTAACAAGAAATTTAATATTTATGATTTTTTCTTAAATTGAACCAAATATTTTCATTGAAATTGTTATGTATATTTTACTTCTGACGTTAAATATATTTTTCTAATTTAAACTTTAAACTTTACCTAAATTGAAAAGTGTTAGTGAGATACTTGTTAAAGTAAATTACATATCTCATCAAATAATATTTATTCATATCAAATTATCATATTCTAAGAGTTCATGCTAGCTTAACATAGGTAGAAAAAAAATTAGCAAGTCATAGATATTTTTTTAGATGCTGTTTCAAGTAGAATTTTAACTTCTAATTTGTATGTTCTTATATCTCATTTTCGTTCAATCATTTATTTATTGTGAAATAATAGATGGTATATATTTTTAATTTTATTTTTACTATTATTTTAAGATTTTTTTTATACTATACTCTTTATTTTAACTATCACATTATTTATATTATTTAGGACTAACATACTATTAATTCCTAAAGGTAAGGCCATGTTTATTTTTATTCATTAAAAATAAAGCGCCTTCTTTTGACATTTTTTTTTCATTATATTTATAAATTAAATTTCGTTTAGTAAATTAGAGATAATGTTAAAATGGCAAAAATTTCACCTAATGGAATAAGAATAATAGATTTAAAAATATAAAAAACATATTATATAGATTAATAGAAATAAACAAATTACTTCTTGTCCATTTGAATTATTAGAATTAAGTGTGATGAAAACAAATTTTATGAAAAAAAATGTTATACCTCCACTACAAAAAAAACGTTTATTATATACGGGTAAAATTCATAGGTAATGCACTCACCTAAACAAAATATTTTTATTTCCTTTATATTATATTTTTATTATTTATTATATTTTTGAAACTTTGAATTATTATTAGATTATTAGATTAAGAGAATTCATAGGTAATGCACTCACCTAAACAAAATATTTTTATTTCCTTTATATTATATTTTTATTATTTATTATATTTTTGAAACTTTGAATTATTATTAGATTAAGAGAATTATCATTAACGGGATTCGAACCCAATGACTCAAAATCTCAAAGTTGGAGACCGATACTCCAACCACTAAGCTATTAGGATATTTTGAAAATAACTTACAAATAAATTATATTTATATTTATCCGTGTAAATATATAAATATAAAATATATATAAATATAAAATATATAAATATAAATAAATTTATATTTTGATATATTTATATTTTGATATATTTTATATTTATATTTATATTTATATATTTATGTATTTATGTATTTATGTATTTATGTATTTATGTATTTATATATTTATGTATTTATATATTTATGTATTTATATATTTATGTATTTATATATTTATATATTTATATATTTATATATTTACACGAATAAATATAACTATAATTTATTTGTAAATTATTATTAGAATATTATAATAGTTTAGTGGTTGAAGTATCAGTTTTCAACTTTAAAGTACAAGGTTCGATTCTTAGGCTTTTTTTTTTTTGTAGTGCTCTTAAAAAATTATTTTTTTAAAAAAAGTAAACACTTCGTTTCATTATATTTCTAACAATAAATTATTCTATTTTTTCACAAAAATTCTAATATGGAGGAATTTTGGTCGTAGACCTAACAAAAGTGATGTGAACATAACCTATGATAAGGGCTAGAGCAAGGGAAACAAAGAAAACTTTTCAACAAATATTGTTGGTTGGCCAAATTGTGTTTTGGATTAATCAATTAATGGGCTTTAGTTTAGTTTTATTGCAAGTTGTAATAAGGGCCCAATTGGAAATTTAGTTATCAGTCTTTGGGAGACCAAGAGGGTGCATAGCTGATTGACTTTTGGATGCCACAATTTCAGTTACAATCAATCATTAAGTAGTTTTCAATTCTTAGGTTAATAAATCATTATTAGCATTTATTTTCCTTTAATGAATATTTGTAACTCTGATGGCAAAGCTTCTTTATAAGCTGAACCATTTTTATCAGAAATAACAAGTTGAGTTTTATTTTTAGAAATATTAGAGTTTATCTCTTTTATCTTAGTGAGAGTGATTCTCCTAAATTCTTGAGTGATTCAAGAACCCTTGGCTGTATCAAAGGACTTTCACATCCTTTGTGTGTTGCCTTCCTTGGGAAGAGTGATTCTTTCCTTCCACCTTCTTTCTAATTCCTAAATTTCTTACAAGGTTCTAACCCTAAAGATCCTAAATTACCCCTTTGTGATTCATACCATTTGGTATTCAGAGCAAGGTTCAAAAGATGGCAGGTGCAGGTGGTGGTACCCCTCCTCTAGGGGATGACAATAGATTATTGATTGATGTCATTACAGCCCAAATGCAAAGAATGTTGACAGAGCATACCGAGGAGTTGTATGAAAGATTGAACCGATTGAAGAATAGAGATTCTGAAGACGAAGAAGAAAGGAGAAATAGGAGAATGAATGATGGAGTAACAAGACCAAGTAGGCTTGAAGGAGTCAAGCTTAACATTCCTCCGTTCAAAGAAAAAAGTGATCCAGAAGCATACTTGGAGTGGGAGATGAAAATAGAACATGTTTTCTCATGCAACAATTATGAGGAGACCCAAAAGGTGAGGCTTGCAACAACAGAATTTTCTGACTATGCTCTTGTTTGGTGGAACAAGCTACAAAAGGAGAGAGATAGAAATGAAGAACCAATGGTTAATACATGGACTGAGATGAAAAGGATCATGAGGAAGCGGTATGTGCCGGCTAGTTATGCAAGGGACTTGAAATTTAAACTCCAAAAACTTACTCAAGGTAACAGGGGGGTTGAGGAGTATTTCAAAGAAATGGACATGCTCATGATTCAAGCAAAGATTGAAGAAGATGAAGAGGTAACTATGGCCCGATTTATTGGTGGTTTGAATATTGATATATGTGATATTGTTGAGTTGCAGGAGTTTGTTGATATGGAGGATTTACTTCATAAAGCAATTCGAGTGGAGCAACAACTCAAAAGAAAAGAAGTGACTAAGAAGAGTTCTACCAACTTTGGATTTTCAAGTTGGAAGGACAAAGGCAAAAAAGATGGGATTGTTACTTCTAGTAGTTCCACACCTATTCCTACAAAGACTCATTCAAAATATGAAGAACAACCCTCTAAAAAAAGTAGAGATGTGAAATGTTTCAAGTGTCAAGGCCTAGGACACTATGCTTATGAGTGCCCTAACACAAAGACCATGATTCTTAAAGAGGGAGAATATATAAGTGAATCTGAGGTTGAAGAGGGAGAAAAGAGTGAAGAAACTGAGGAGGAAGAGATTCCAAAGGGAGATTTATTGATGATTAGACGATTACTTGATAGTCAATTGAAACCTATGGAAGAAAGCCAAAGAAAAAATATTTTTCACACTAGATGTTTAATCAATGACAAGGTGTGCATGATGATCATAGATGGAGGTAGTTGCACCAATGTGGCTAGTGCTAGATTAGTATCAAAGCTAAATTTAGCTACCAAACCACATCCTAGGCCATATAAACTCCAATGGCTTAGTAAGGATGGAGAGGTGCAAGTGAGACAACAAGTTGAAGTGGACATTTCCATTGGAAAATACAATGATAAGGTGCTTTGTGATATTATTCCTATGGAAGTTAGTCATTTACTTTTGGGGAGACCATGACAATTTGATAAAATAGTTAATCATAACGGGTTCACCAACAAGATTTCTTTCATACACCAAGACAAGAAGATTGTGCTCAAACCTTTGAGTCCACAAGAAGTATGTGAGGATAAAAAGAAAATGAAAGAAAAACTTCTTCAAGAAAAGAGAGAGAAAGAAAGCGTTAGTGAAACACTTGAGAGGAAAAAGAGTGATCAAAAGAAGAGTGAAACACTTGAAGTGAAACAGAGTTATTTAACCATAAAAAGTGAG